CCTTTCCCGCTTTTACGTATTTCACCAAAACCCTCCCCCCAAACAACTCAACCCCAAAAACCTAACCAACTCTCTCCCGGCCCACAAAGCAACTCAGCCACCCCCAGATCGGGCGGCGCTACCCGGGACGGAGCGGGGGGGGTCCCGCAGGCCTGAGCCCTCCGGGTGAGGCGTCTCAGCCCCGCTGCGCCGGGCCGGGGAGGCCGGTCTGTAATTAAATTATAGGGGTTTAATTAAACCCTAAAAATTAAAAGCCAGTTCCTTTTCAGAGCTCTTCTGGCCGACAGATTAAAGACTAAGACCTACGGTCCTGCTAGGTTTACTTATTACTGTAAAAATCATATGAAACCAGTTGCAACATTACCAGGATTGACATAGACTTGTCTGGGTTGGAAGGGACATTTAAGATTATCGAGTCCAACCATCAGCCTAACACTGCCCAAACCACCACTAAACCACGTCCCTCAGCACCACGTCTGCCCATCTTTTAAATACCTCTGGGAATGCCCTCAGCACCATGTCTGCCCATCTTTTAAATACCTCCAGGGATGGTGACTCCACCACGTCCCTGGGCAGCCTGTGCCGGTTCTTGATAACCTTTTCAATGAAGAAATTTTTCCTACTATCCCATGTAAACCTCTCCAGGTGCAACTTGAGGCCATTTCCTCTTGTCCCCTAGCTTGTTATTTGCGAGAAGAGACCAACCCCCCCTCGCTACACCCTCCTTTCAGGTAGTTGTAGAGAGTGAGAATGTCACTTACCATAACCATTAATGAACACACCATGGGTCCTAAAGTTTTCCCAGCCTCTTTCCTAAGAATTTATTATTCAACTTTTCTCCATAAAAGAGGAGGTTTGGCTGCCACTGCTCCTTAGCGAGAGACGCTGAAGTTGAGGCAGGAGTCCTTGGAGGACTTCAGCTCGTCTTGCAAAGGCGATGCTGGAGAAGAGCAGGGAGAGAGTTTTTTAGGGGATATTGCTATTCCCCAACACAGGACAGCACCTGTACATGGATAAACAGGAGCATTGCAGACACCTCACTCCATGCAGAGCTTTGAGGCTTAGACTTGAAGGCAGAATACAGGTGAAAGCTGCACCGAGGCACTGCCAGCAGTCACAGCAGCCAAAAAGAACATGACAAAGTAATTAATGGAGTAAAAAAACCTAGAAAGTAACAGAAAGACTCACTGGCCATGAAAGGTTAAACATGGAAGCTATTTGGTTACACAAATAGCCACAGTGACTACTGTCCACCCCCTGACCTAACAAGAGCCACACTTCTATTTTCACATCCAAAATATTCAAAGAACACAAAGGGCACAACCATCCCCTGGGCTATCCCCTCTGAAGGGGGTCATGTTCTTAAACTAACATGGAAGAAAGTTCAAAAACTGCTGGAAAAACACGGTAAAAATCCATCCCTTCTCCCCTCCCAGCTTCATGTGTCAGTGCTGGGCTCCAAACTAGACCCCAATTTCTAGAGCAAGATCTTGAAAAAGATTGGGTTTTTTTGAAGAAAAAAATCTGCAGAGGCAGAACAGGATATACCTCATCATTACCAGAGGAATTGTGGACAGTTGGTCTCCTGTCATGGTTGCAGTTTTACATGAATTGCAAATAAATACAATTATCCAGCCACATTATCCAATATGTTTAATAGTGTTGAAACAGTATCAAATCAAGGCATGTGTCTGAAATGAGGCAACCTGGTCTACAAAAATAAGTATGATTACAGGAATATTAAAACCTCTTTGCAAAGACTGTATGGAAGATGATCAAAACAACACAAACATATTAAGCAACAATGTAAAGCTTCAGATTTGGGTGTTCAAGAGTTTGACAAAGCACCGCAGGCCAAGTTTCCAGCTAGACACTACATCCTTACTTGTGCAGGTGTCCCTCAAGAAGTAGGGCTTAGACATGAGATACAAAAACCGCAAGAAATGCTCAAACAAAAAATATCAAGTTTTTTAATTTATATGTTCCACAGAATGCAGTTACAACACTCTCCTACACAGCAATGATCCTTTGTAATTTACCACAGCAATTTTTATTCAAATACAAACAGTAGTGGGAAAGCCAGCAGGTTTTCCTCAGGACAGAAGTCTGGACCTTATTAAGCTTCACAGTTTATCCACAGCAAGTGGCATCTCACCATGTTATTGTGAAGAGTGCTTCTGGTCAGAGGTATCCTCGTTGGCAGTATAGAAGTGTTGGAAGAAAGAATCTCCTCATGGCCATGGTACACATACACTGTGTTTTATTGAGAGCCATATGTTCTTGTGACAATCCCTCAGTGTGCCCAATAATCCCCTCAAACATGGGACTGGTTGCCACACTGCAGCTTTACTCAGCCTTTTGTCTAACAGAAATTCTTTCAGTCAAGACGGAGACATAGAGTTTCAGCCAAGCGTAGGTGACACCCAGAGCACAGTACACAGAGGTCAGCAACAGAGGGACAAAAGGGAAGTGCAGTTTCCAGGTGGTCAAAGGAAAGACAATTTCACAGAAGATTTCCAAAGGCACTAGTTGGACGAGGTAGATTGTTTCAAGCCAGTTAAGGAGAGGCCTCTCTCTCCTGTCAAAGGAATTAAAAAAAAAAAGTGTTAAAATGCATGACGTTAACTGAAGTGAACTATTTCTCAGCTATCACCAGTGACCAGTGCAAAGAATATCTCCCATTAGTTCACAATAAAGCTTTTAAATAACGTAAAGAGTTTCAATCGGAAGATGTGGTAATAGAGTACAGCTAATTTCCTTATCACATGGTTTTTAACACCAAGTTCCAAGATACCCTGGAATTTAAGTAGAAACCTCAGCAGTTGCTCTGCTTTATCTCGTATCATTCCAGTGAACAACTGTACAGAGACCTTCATACACACATTTGTTCCACAGAACTTGTTCTACACCCAGAGACTGGAAATGTCAGATTTATCTTAACCACTGACCCTTTGCTCCTAGCCTTCTGTAGGATGTATGAGCCAATCTCTCTTGCAAAGGACATCAGTGGTTGGGTTTTGACTGCAAGTAAGTTTACAAGGGAATTCACATTCTTCTGGAAGGAATCTGGGGTGGTTTTTTTTTTTTTTGAACACTAGGAACGAACAGGAAACTTGCGAAAGCTCCATCTCTAGACAGAAGCTAAGCTCCCACAGAGGTTTTCAGATAGAGCTCTTGAGACAGAATGACTGAATTCTGAAATACTAAGTGGGGGGGAAGCAGTCTGGTTGAAAGAGGACCACCGACAAAAAGCAGGTGACAAGTACTGAATACAGGCTTATAGCATTTCCAACAGATCCTTCGCTACAGCTTGGCTTTGCCATGAAAAGTTTGGGAAACAGGAAAGTGGAGACTACAGTGGTTATAAGGATAAGTACTGTCTTTGGTCAAGTGGGTCAAAATGGCCTGTAAAAATACACAGGATGATTTAGGGAATTCTATGTTCTGACAATCAAGTGTTTCAGGAGATTTGTTGACGCATTACAGATTGTAAATGCATGTTATTATAGACTGCCCCTTCCACACATGAAAATACTAAGTACTAGTGCAAAAAAACCACAGTAGTATTTATAACCACCAGCACAGACAATCTTCAGATAACTCACTGCAATAAGTGTTCTAATATCAAATTAAATCCTCACAGGCTACAGCATTACAACTTTGTGCTTTAACAGGGCACCAGGCAGGTGGGGATTTACAGCCTGCTGGGACTACCTGGGTAGTTGTCACAATTCAAACATAACAAGGACGTGCTATAATAATCCTAACTTAAGCCTTGCCTCCTGGGAAGAGAGTGGAGGCAGCAGCATCTTTTGACCAGGAACGCTTCAATTTGATACTTCAGCATCGGTCTTCTGCACCGTTTGCCCCTTATGACAACACTGCTCCCAGTGACAGAGGAAGTAGTTTTGTTCTTGGCTTTGGGAACGAGTTTCTTTAATTACCTGAATAGAGATTTCAACGAAGAGAAGCTATACACAGTAAACAGCAGCATAAGCAGTATTTTAATTGGAAGTTCTGAAATACAAGGAACACAACATTTTTAAAATTAATTAGAAAAACATTTTGCCATATAAATTGCAGCATCTTTAAATCCTACTAGTCACACTTGCATTGTCCAACTTAATTATATTCTCCAAACAGAACTGAATGTTTTACTGCTTAGGACACCTAAAAATAAGCATAGATATTTACTAAAGCAAATGCCAAGTGTTTGCAATACACTTACTTCAATCATCTATAAGCATACTGAACACACTAATTATAATTACAACATGATAGCACTGCAAATAAGATTTTCCTATTAAAAATAAATCAGAAATTACTGGGCTGGGAAGGTTAAAACATAAAACGTGACAGCCAAAATCAATGCTATCTAGTTCTAGGTTGCATGGTAGATAAAAATTAAGTGATAGAGAAGGCAGAGGAAGTTTCTCATTTCTCAAGGCAGCAATTTTGCTATTGCAAATACGCAGCAGCATCAGACCAAAAGAGTGTGTCTGGATTTGACTTCTCCCAGAAGGATGACAATCAACTGATACAGAGTTATAGTGCGTCATAGCTATGATGGTCTAGGGTTTAAGTGAAGCAAAAGGGGAAGAAAGGAACAGCTTTTGGTCACAAAGAGAAATCTGTCCTTACATATACTGATTTCACCAATGATGTTGTGTAATTTTTTTTTAGTTTAAGCACATTAGTGATAGCATGAAGTAGCAGTCAGCTGGAAAACTGTCTACCAGATTTGTGGCTTCAAATTGTCTTTATCACTTTTGCTTCACATGGTTGTTAGACAGGGGAGTTTCTAGAACTGTGACAGAATGAGGGATAACAAGTATTGACTATGATAATTTCCCCATGTCTGTTTTAACTTATAGCCTAACAGCTCTTCCACAGCTTTTTAAACCAATGTTTCTTTTCTCTTGTTGAAGAATTTGTATTTATGGAAACAGGCTGACATACAGTTGCAGACCTTTCAACTTACTACATAAAATAATCTAAACCCATTACTTGCATATTACCTCTGGGGGAAAAAAAAAACAAAACAAAAAAAACAAAAAAACACCAACACAACCAAAACAGTAAGATGAAAGCACGGAACGAAGGAAAACACTTTACCTGGTGATGTGAACAACAACGGAAAAAGTGAGAAGTGCCCTGTAGTTGTCAGAATCAAGTAGATGCCGGCGTCCTTCGCTTTCTGAACAGACAACAAGCTAAAAGTGACAAGAATTTGTTATGCTTTTGTCTTTTAGCAAAGAAACTTAATTTCAGCGAAACACTACACAATTCACACGAGACTGAAGAACAGGTCAAATAAGAGTTCCATAATACCCCAGTCCCTCAATGAAGTCTCCTGCTTCCAAACCATATGGCCTCAGATAAAAATGCAGGAGAAAAAAAGTCAGCTAGGTAATCTTTCCCCAGAAAACCCCACCTCCACTGAACACAAACATCAGAAAGCCCTGGAGTTTTCTACAAATGGTCTTTTTCTGTAGCCAGCTGGTTGCCAACACTGCCATCCCTTCTTCTCCTTCCTTTTTTTTTTTTTTTCCCCCCACTGTTAATTCCCCTCTCTCCCACAATTCCCACTTCAAGAGTTTAAGCAGCTCTAAACCTCTGAACAGGAAAACACAGTTTGTAGCAATACTGGTCAGGCAGCTTATAGACTATAGCCTCACTTGTACCCAAAACAGGCATTAAGTCTTTTCGGTAGAAACTGTGTACTGTGCAGAAGGTCCCTTTCCTCAGTTAGCTTCTGAACAATCTACCCAGCATTTCAAATATGAACCGCAGTACTCATCAAGGCTTGAAGTGCCCGGCAGCTAAAAGACTACAATATTTTTTACATTTGTCCCTGCCACAGTACATCTCTAAACTTAACTATTCAGAGAGAAAAAGAACTTAATCAACTATGCACGCTTGCCAAACTTAAGTACAACAGCAGCATCCAATGCTTCAAAAGCCAGGCAAGCCAATTAATTTTTCTCTTCAAAAAGCAAAGCCAGAAGACACATAACGAATGCATCTTGGACGCATCGGGTGCAACAAATGTATGGCACAAATGCCGTAATAACAGTGGGGGAAACAAGAGACCTTAAGAAAGCAGCCTGCTTTCGTCCACCATGTCACATGAGTGAAATGTTTTATCAAGCCTGCTCCCAAACTGTCACTAAGACAAGGAGGTTTCAAGGGGAA